AAATTATACACTTCGGATGGTGATTGTCCTAGATCTTATGGGTTAGCCAAAGTACATAAAGAGGGATATCCTTTCAGATTGATAGTAAGTTGTGTAAATAGTCCATTTTTTAATCTCGCTAGTTTTTTAAAAGATATTATAGAAAAAAGTATAAAAAAGAAATTTGGTTACATTAAGAACAGTTTTGAATTAGTTAGAAAACTTAATGGCTTAAAAATAGATAACAATTTTAGTTTAGTATCATTTAATATCACCTCTATGTATACTAACATTCCGATTGAATTAGCTTTAAATAGTTTTTTAAGAAGATGGAATTTTATTGAATGTAACACAACAATACCGAAAGATGAATTTAAATTGGCTTTATCTATCATTGTAAATTCCACGTTTTTCAAATTCGACGGATTGTTCTATAAACAAATTTTTGGCTTACCCATGGGATCTCCTCTTTCTCCAATATTGGCTGATATTGTTATTCAAAATTTAGAATCCAACATTTTTAATGAACTCTCCACTCATATTCTTTTTTATTTTCGTTATGTTGATGATATTATTATGGCTCTTCCTAAGGATCAGATTGACTCCACATTGAATTGTTTCAATTCTTACCATGAGAGAATTAAGTTTACAGTTGAACATAGTAATAATAATGGATTAAATTTTTTTGGTGTGAAGTTGCTAATTGAGAACGGAAGACTGATTTTTGACATTTATAAAAAGCCTACGGATTCTGGACGATATCTAAATTTTTATTCAAATCATCCTGTGACGCACAAAAGAGGAGTAATAATAAGTCAGCTGGACAGAGTGATATTTCTTTCTCACCCGAAATTTCATGAAAAGAATATTAACAATCTAATCAATACTTTTTTAAATAACGGATATCCTTTACAATTTTTGTTTTCAACAATTAATAATAGAATAAAATCTTTATCTTACAATAAATCATTTGATAGTATTAATGATCATAGAGAAAATATAGATTCATCTAATATCTCGAAAAAGTATTTCACTGTTCCGTATTTTCAAAAAATTTCTGAAAAATTTATATCTATTATAAATAAATTTAATTTTAATATTGCTTATAGACCTATAAATAATTTAAGTTCTATCATAAAAACCAGTAAAGACATAATTAAAAAAGAAGATCAATCAAATGTTGCATATAAAATAAATTGCCAAGATTGTGAATCTACATATATTGGACAAACAAATCGCAAACTTAAAACTAGAATAAAGGAACACAAAAATGACTACAAAAACCAATGAATAATTTGTCTGTTATTTCTAGGCATATACTAGATTTTAATCACGAAATAGATTGGGATAATACTAATATAATTGATTCTGAACAATCATATTATAAAAGAATGATCTCAGAGATGATACACATAAAAAAACAAAAGAATAGTTTGAATAAGCAAAGTGATACGGAACGGTTTCCTGACGTTTACATTTCGATCATCAGCCAATGCCCCTCTCTCACATAATATTGGTTGACTCTTTCTAGATCTCTACTTTCTTTGTCTAACAATAAAAGATAAATACGACCTGTACACGGGTAAGCGGTCACAAGTTGCTTACCTTTTGAAAGTGCTCTCAGTATAACGATGATTTGTTTGAAAATTATAAGTCTTATATTT